AACAGTGATCCTTCATGTCAGTGGGATGCCAAATAAAACAGGTATGTGAGGTCAAGTAAGACATTAACAGGCAAGGGTATGTGAGCGCATTATGTAGGGACCAACAGGGTACCAGTTTTTTTCTCTTAGGATATTAGCCATTCACTTTGGGTATGTATTTGTACTGACACACTCAGGGAGTACATCTGTTGCAGGTAGTCTGACTCATCTCCAGTTATTCTGAGACTGAAAGAGAAAAGCGGAGTGAGCTGTCATTGTGAGGAACAGTATTCATCAGGCTGAGAGAGGGAGGAATAATATGCAGTCTAACGTATCTAATAATAAGGGGAGGGGAGAGGGGTTAAACTTGCAAGCAAGATAGAAAAGTTCCAGTTGAATTTTAATAGAGGCAAATTAGATCTGTTGCAGTGTTCCAAATGTTTCATGGTCCATTTTTCCACACTCTTAGTTCCATTCTTCTTCCCTACCTGTTTCTTGCGTTAATGTTTTTTGCTCCCTGAAGTGTTGTTCGCTTACTGACAGGGAGCATGTTCTGTTCTCATTGGCTTTTGGGGGACATTCCTCCTCTTAATATTTTGTACTTCCGCAGGTCTTGAGGTTCTCCTAACAGTGCTGGCAACCACTTGAGCTCTTGGTATTGCTTTTTTTTGGCTACACTTGGATCCAGCTTTGGCGATCACTGTACATTGGAGTAGAGAGGTAGTATAGTAAAGTGAAAGCTGGAATGGCGATGGTAATAATTTACCACTTCCTGTAGCCATCCAGTAGGCTCAGAGCACTGCCAGTAAATCAGCATGAGGATATATTTCAGCTCAGTTTTTAATTTAATGTATTTATTCATTAATTTATTACATTAATGTCCTGCCTTTCCTCCAGGAAAGTCAAGGTGATGTACATGGCTTTCCTCTTCTCTTTTTCACAGCAACCTTGTAAGGTAGGTTCAGCTGAGAGGGAGGTGGCTGGCTTGAAGTCATACTGTGAATGCCAGGGATGCCTGGATTTGAACCCAGATCTCCTGAATCTTTATTCAGCTTTCCTAACCACTGTGTCACATTAGCAGGTGCAATCAAAACAGCTTTCTTTCAGTGTAATGGTACCTATGTGCAGTTAGCAGCAAAGCTTTTATTTCTTTAAGTGATCTTCCTACAACTGGTACTAATTTTAAAGGTTATGGCCAAACGTGTGCGGTTCCTCTGCAGAACATCACTTGCACAGACTAGGAACCTTTTAAGTACTCTTCCAGCAGCCTGGAGCACATAGTTGCTAGTTCTTTTTAGTATACTAGGCTAAAGGATTTGATTGGCAAAGCCAGATTACTTTTAGTAATTTTTTTTACATAGCTTGATGTGTTTAATAGCATACATTTTCTGTATGAGTAACAGGGAACATAAAAGGATTGTAGATATTTCATATGTTATGCAGGCATTAAAATCCTCCTGATGGAAGAGATTGCTTCAGATGGACTTGTGCATATTGAAAAATTTAATTACAATACTCTCTTGTCCTTGTATGGATTTTTTTCCCCTGAGAAATGTTCTTTGAACCTTCTGGTGTTCCTGGAAGACGAAGAATGGTACCAGAATTTCTGTCTTGAGTAAACTCTGAAAGTCACTTCTTGGGATCAGCCAGTTCGGCCACAAGAATAAAGCAGAGAAATAGCTTCCCTTCTGTTTAGAGTGTTTGCCTTGTTACTGCCCTGCTCCTTCCTCTTTATATCCTATTTTTCTTAACATAAGGAGACGCATGGGGAAAAGTTGGCGTTGTTTCAAGATTCCTCATTTTGGGTAAAATGAGAGAATTCTTGTATGTCTGCAGGTCTGCTGAAAGGTTTCTTCTACGTAGCGTCTCCCTCCACTCCCTGAACATTGAAGTGCATTCTAAACATCCAAGCTCCTCTAATGTCCTTACGTTCTGTGCTTTGTTATTCTTTCTCAGGGGTCTTTGTGGGCTCATACCACATGATTTTCTCCAGTTGCTGAGTGGGATGTTAGACAAAGGAAGCTGCAGGCTGCTGTGAACTTATTGCTGTGAACTTATTGTTTCCTGTCTTGTCTGGGCTCTTGTTCTTAGAGGTGTATCTGCTCAGGCCAGGAAGGTCCCAGCAACAAAATAAACATGCAGTTCATTCCCCCAACTCCACACAGGAGAGACTGTGGAAAAGAGATGGTGGGTGATGGGCTACACTTAATACCTTTAGCAGGCACAGATAAAAATGTCCTGGCCTTCAAGGCTGTATGGTTGCATGCTTGTCTGGAAGAACCTACTTAGTTACCATTGGAATTTCTTTCTCTCCTCTACCTAACCAAGGGCAAATACTTCAGGTGAACATTGTCTTGACATTCCTTCTTCCCGACTTTCTCTGCTATGAATCTGTGAGGTAATGGAGTGGGTTAGACATAATACCAAACATGTAGTTTGTTGATACATGCAAAAGCCTTGGACTTCTCTGACCCCTCTGTCTTCTATCTCCAATCAATTTTCTGCCCTTTTTTAAAAAAAATGCTCCATGGGATTTCCCCTCCATCTTTTTAGCATGTATTGCTTGCCATTGCATCAGAGCCCAGTAATCTATGGTTTGTGCAGGCATTAATTTACTCACAGATTAGAATTTAAAGTAATAGATTGACATTGGCTTGAATTCAAAATAATAGTTTGCTATTACGGTCTGGAATACCTAGAAACACTTGAAAACGCAGGGCATTTGCTTGAATCCCCAATGCCTCTTTGAATTGCTGTTTGGTCCTGAAGCTCTGCAATCTTGTCTAACACTTGAAACTGTGTCTGCACAAGCTGCTTTTCACAGATAATTGCCTACTACTGATGTTCAGCAAAAACAAGTGCCGTCTGCACTATGTCCTGTGAACTGTCACTCTCTATGGCACTTACACAATTATAATTCATTAAAAAGGTATAAGTGGGGTTTTTTTCTTTCCTTCTCCTTCCTTTTGGAAAGAGGTGCTGTGGCACAGAAACCTGATTCCCTTCCATGCTGTTTTATCTTTTCATACCCTTATACTCTTTCTTTGCCTATACTGCATTTGAAGGCATTGTATTCTTAAAGTGCTGTTAAGAGCCAAAAGAAAATGCAGTAAATATGAGGGTTCACGGGTGCAGAAAAAGACTATTTTACAGAAGCATTATTGCAGAATTACTTGGCACATTTGGAACGGTGATTGTTCAGTTCCTGTCCCTTTGTGTTATCTCACAGAAAACGGATAAAGCACAAAGAATTCTTTACAATAAAGAAGTGATGTGGAATAATGGTTTTATAGTACACTTGTGGCAGATGCCTTCTTTTGGAAAGCGGTGACCTGACAGGCAGCACCAAAAAAATGTAACATTGAAAGTTCAAGCTTCTAAGATGACCATTCAAGTAATGGGCATCTTTATTTCCATGACACTAGGAGAAGTCTTTTTGGAGATGCAGAGGGAATAAGTAAGGCCAGCCTCCAGACTGAAAGGTGACCTTCTAATATATGGATGGGCCTGGGCAGGCTTATCCAGCAGTGGTGGGCAGCAGTGGTAAGAACAGTGTTGAGAAAAACTGTGGCTGAAGCTATCTGTTTACCTTTGCCAACACTGTGTTGCTTGGGCACATTGTGGGAAATTCATTAACAGCTGGAAACAGCTGCCCAGTCCTTCTTGGGCCTTTGGGCCAAGCTCCCCCCTCCTTCCCCATACTACTGAAGCTGCCAAAAAATGCCAGGTGTTTTGACCTGCATTGAGGCTGGGTATTGTCACTGTAGCAGAAATGTGTAACCAAGTCCTTCTTACCCACCTCTCCCCCAGTACTGCCCAGAGTTTAATCCTCTATCATTTGCTTGATACAAGCCAACTGTTTTCCTTGCATTAAGGAAATAATTTCCAGTATGTGGACATTTTTAGGATTTGCCGTTTCCAGGGAGAGGGGGGAAACAAGGTATTAAATGGGAAGAAAGTGCTTTAATTGCCTTGAGCACACGTCTGTGAGTGGTAGTTGGCACTTTTGCATATGAGTGATAGGAGATGATTAGAAGGCAGCAGAAGCGACAAGGAGGATCACACCTTGTTTCCCGGCATATGAGTGATAGGAGATGATTAGAAGGTAGCAGAAGGAAGTGACAAGGAAGATCACACCTTGTTTTCCCGAAAATAAGACCTGACCTGAAAATAAGCCCTAGTATGATTTTTCAGGATGCTTGCAATATAAGCCCTACCCCAAAAATAAACCCTAGTGAAGTGAAACCCCACCCTCCACTATTGTGCAGCAAGCAGAAGAAGATGACATGATTGTATTGGAATAAATGTAGATTGTTGTATATGAAAAGTATTAAATATCCTCTGAAAATAAACGCTAATGCATTTTTAGAGCAAAAATTAATACAGTGGTGCCCCGCATAGTGACGTTAATCCGTTCCGGATTAATCGTCGCTATGCAGAAACATCGCTAAACGGAACGGAAAAAGCCATAGGAATGCATTAAACTTCGTTTAATGCGTTCCTATGGCTCCCAAACTCACCGTTCAGCGAAGTTCCTCTGTATCACCGCCATTTTCGCGCCTTCGGTAAGCAAGGGCAGGGCGCGAAAACACTTGCGGTGGCCATTTTGGGCACCCGGCGGCCATTTTGGAACTGCCGATCAGCTGTTTAAAAAAACATCTCAATGCGATGTTTTGCCTGTTCAGAACATTGCAATGCGATCGCATTAGCGATCTAAAAGAATAGTTCGCTATGCGGATTCATGGTTAAACGGTGCACTCGTTAAGCGAGGCACCACTGTATAAGACCCTGTCTTATTTTGGGGGAAACACGGTATCTGATCTGTAGTGCTGCAGAAGTGAAAATGGCATCTTTGAAAATGTGAATTTCCCTAGTATCTTCCATACCCAAGTTTGTTCTATAAATATGATTTAGTTGGTGAGTTGGTGGCAAAAGTGTGAATTCCTATTTCCTGGCCATAACGTTTCATCAGACGAACCATTACATTGTTTTCTTGACCAATTTTCTTTTTTCCTTTTCAGGGAACCAATTGGAAAGAAGAGATCTGGTAAGACAATCACTTTTATTCCCCGACCCCGTTTATATTTCTGTTGTTGGACTTTGTCATACTTGTTGATCGATACAAAGCTTTCACTGCAACATGTTCTTGTAGTAGCTGTCTCTTGGAAACTAGCATGGAAGGGTCTGTCCTGAAGTGTTGTTTCCCTTTGAACTTTCCCTTTGTATTCTTCCCTGTCCCATTTTGGCTTCATCAGACTGTCATGCATATGTTGTGTGCATTGAATATTACCTGTTTGTTCCTAACTCTGGAGAAGGCTTTGAATACATTTACCTTTATTGACGAATTGTATTTGCTCTTCTTGGGACTATACAGAAATCCTACAGACTTTGCCTCACTGCACTATGGTATAGCAAAGGAGGAGGGAAAGGGCATTTTCTCCAGTCTGCTCCAGTTTATTTTGGGGGATGATCCCTCTTATCATGCTGCTGCTGCCTTTGTCCCCAGCCCTGCCTGAGCCCTTTGCCCATTCTAGTCATCTTTCACTGCAGCATTTTAACTCAATTGTAGTGCACATGGTGCAGTTTCGTTTGCAATCCAATAATTTGTATCATCCTAGTGAATGATAAATAAGGCAGGTTAAGTGGAGAGAAAAAGAATTTATAAGGTGAGCACAGCAGAAAAGGGAAATGTAGAAGAGTAGTAGCCCGTTTGTAGAAGCAGACTGGTGGGGGAAGATATTTTCATAATAGGTTCTGTAACTGTGTAGTAAAAGTAAGTTAGAAGGTATTTTATTTATCAAGTACAGAATTGGACACCCAAAATTGTAAATTTTCACAAAAGGCTCTGTTCTGAGTTACTTTCTTTCCCTTGTATTTTATTGCATTTAAAAAAAAACAGGCAGGTGAAGCTCCTTGACTGTTGAGCTTTTGGTGCTCATTGCTGCAAACTGAATACCTCTTNAATAATATAATAATAATAATAATAATTTTGCCCACTAGTAGCCCTTATGGTTTTTATCTGAAGAACGTAACAGTCACAAACATGCTTTTAGTAGCAGGTTGTGTCTCAACATGCAAATCTTTCTGTTTTAATTCTGGGTCTCAGTGTTAACTGGTGCCACTCTTAAATACCAATATATCAGGAATCCAGCCCTGTAGGGGAACTGAATAATAATAATAATAATAATTTTGCCCACTAGTAGCCCTTATGGTTTTTATCTGAAGAACGTAACAGTCACAAACATGCTTTTAGTAGCAGGTTGTGTCTCAACATGCAAATCTTTCTGTTTTAATTCTGGGTCTCAGTGTTAACTGGTGCCACTCTTAAATACCAATATATCAGGAATCCAGCCCTGTAGGGGAACTGAAGTTGTTCTGTCTGCTTCCTACAGTTTCTTACTTGAAGGAAATTACGAGCTTGAACATGTAGATTTTAATAGCACGAAAACAGAATTAACTATAGAACAAGTGTGTGTATTCCCAATGTGAAAATACTTTGAATGGAACAGTGTCACCAAGCATACTTCTGGCTAATAAATTTAGGGATGTGCACCAGCATAAAAATTGGGATTTGGAATTATAGTCCATTGGATTCAGAATTTGAAATTTTAGAAATTCTGAATTTCTGGATATCTGGAGCGCTGTTACAGTAAATGGTATCCCTCTCTGAAAACACGAACAGGCAGGTTTTAGAAGAAGTAGCCATGCTAGCCTGTGCTAGCATATCAGGCAAAAACAAAAGAAAAATGCAGAAGACAAAAGCCTTGTGGCTTTAAACACACATGTCATCTTATGTCTGAGGGACTTGTCCACAGAAGCTCACATTGCAATATAGAAGTTAGTTTTTAAGGTGCCACAAACAGGCAAAATATTTTAAAACAATTTTCCTGTGTCCTCTGAGTGGTTGTGCCAAATAAAAAGAGAGTACACTGCGACAGCCACCAGTATCTAGGTATTAGGAAATGGCTACAATGGGCATACTACCTGGACCCTGAACAGTGGGAATGCCAGCAGGAAGTGCCAGCAGCATTGTGGAAGCAGAGGACATATCATACTGGGGAGTGGGCAAATGCCCTGGGCGGAACTGGCAGGAGTAGCAGATAGCCTGTGATGGGTAAGAATTGTGCCGACAGCACAATTGGATGAGTGAGCACAATCTTGGAGTATGAATGAAAGAGGCAGAAGGAAGGGCAGCAGACTGAAGTACGGCATATCTGGTCCTGTGACCAGAGTCTGCTGTTCTCTCTGACCTAAAAGGGACTTCAGGGAAGCCCAGCAATGGTAGGTTGACCTTAAGGAAAACAAGTTTTCCTACAGAGCCTGGTTCCAGGCATGAGTGCTGTGGACTGACAGTGCCTCCTTCCTGAGAGAATATGATCTCACCGGGCACACTAGTTGTTGGGCAAGGCAGCAGTCCCACGGCCACCTTGGCCAGACCTTCCCAAACAAATTTCTCCTCAGTCTGGTAAGATGAGAGACCAGTCTCTTTTGGCTTGCAGGGCTCCTGCATGTATGCTTCTACCTCTGCATCTGTCATGTCCTTCCTCTGGGTGGTGGTGTCTCTGGTGGTGTCCCTGTCATGCTTGTCAAGACAGTGTCTCAGGAAGCTTGCCCTGTTGTTGCAGTGTTGAGGGATTTGTAATACAACTGTTGGTTCTGCTGTTTGGGGTACAATGAACATGCCTGTGTCATGTTCCTTCCTGCTCCGTGTGACCCCTTACTGCTAGCTGGACCTTCTTCACTGCTGCTGCTGCTGCATGTGATGAAAAGTTAGCTACGCTTTCCTCCTTCTTTCTGTTGCTTAATCTCTTGTTGCCCTCCATTGATTTCAGGGGTCCAAGGAGGGTTGCTAGAATGTACTCCTTCTTCCACTAGGAAGCAGGTCCTTTAGAATACTGGCCAGGGCCACAGCTTCAGGCCATTCTCCCAATACGGAATTCCTGATCCCCATAGACTGTCCCTTCATTATGCCCTTCGTCATTGCAACCAAGCCCTGGAATAGTGGGATCACCCGGCTAAAGATGGCTACCTCCCCACTAAGGACCTGTGTTGCACTCTCAAAGCTTTGGAGGGCATAGACTACTTGGCCCATAATGCCCTGCTCTTCCTTTGCCGTATTGTGGACTGCCCTTTGCTGCTCCAGCACTCTTTCAAGCAGGTAGAAAGTGGAGTTCCATCAAGTTGCCACATCCTGGATTAGATGGTGCAGTGTAAATCCCATTTATTTGTCTCTGTTGCAACACTTCACTGCCCCAGACACTGTAGTGAAAATGTCCTGCCACCTTTCTGGCCCACTCACTTATATTAGGTATGTCCTTAGGTATGGCCACATCCTGCAAAGCACCCCAAATTAGGTGGAGAGTTTGGGCCATACACCGCACCCCTTTCATCTTCCCAGCCTGCACAGCTGCCACCATGTTTGCCTTATTGTCTGTGACAAACAGGCGTTGACTTTCTATAGCTAGACTCCACTGCTGCAGCATGTTGCCCAGAGCCTCTTGTGAGCTGTGTGGCTGCCCTCCATCACTGCCACGTTCAACAGGGCCCACTTGTATCCTGCCCTTGTCTGTTGCCCTATGCTTGAGACTTCCCCCTCCCACCAGTGTCTTGTCAGGGAGAGATAGGCATGGTTTGCACCCTGGCTGCTCCAGATATCCCGTTGTAAAAAGTGCCCTGGCCAACAGCTGCTGTACCATTTACCTGGCACTCCAGTGTAAATCTGGCATTGGCCTGTGGCTAAGGGTCATTTGGAATGAGAATTGGTAATGGAGAGCCAGTTCTGCCACAAACCTGTGGAAACCAGTGTTCTCCACTAGGGAGAACGGGTGGCCAGCTAGGGCTATTATTTCCCCTAGGTGACAAATCATCCTTGCGTTTTTATGTTTACGGAAGACCTTTTCCTACACCCTTCAAGCTCCTCCACTGTAACCTGGAACGACTTGCCCATCTGCCTCCCTGCTTCCCTGGGCTGGTGGATCTACCTCTGCCCTTCAATAACTCTTACTCTTTACAATAAGAAAGCCACTTGCCTCCACAGTGCATACTTCATTTGCCAGTAGCAGTACCATGTGCAGAGTCTTCAAGTGGCTGAGCATGCTACTGTCGGAGCGATGCCTGAAGTCCCACCCTGCCTATGCTCAAGCATCTTTTGGCAGTACATGCACTCAGCCATGCAAGCGTCTTTTGCACACTCGAAAATGCTTTCAGATTATTGACTTATTGGGAGCTCTAGTTGTTAACTGTATGTTACTGACAGAAATTGTTAAGTTGTCATCAGTGCTAATTCTGGCATTTACTGGGGCAAGTGCATCTGCAGGGGCAGGGGTGATTTCAGTGTCACATGCTTCTGAAATAGTGCCTCCTCGGTGTCCTCTTTCCCCGTGTGAGATATGTATGTTCTTGAAGGGACATTCCCATCAACCACTGTGCTGCTTTGCACAGGGGAGATTCGCTGGGAATGGCGGCTGGGGTGCACCCTTCCTTGAATATGATGGAGCTGCATGGTATGGATATGAAAGGCAATGTCTGGTGCTTTTCATAAATCCCTTTCCCAATTACAAAAGCAGTAGCACTGCTCCTGACCAAGCTGACAGTGGTAGCCTGAGTGCTGATGCCATCCTTGGCCTTCTCTGGCACATAGGCTGTTTGAAAGAAAAATGCCATCTTCATCATCTGTTTTGACACCTTGCCCTAGTTGCCCTGGTGGATTGCATAAAGACATCACTGGAACATGTCTGAAGTTCACTGATGTCTATCCTACCTTGAACCAGAGGCCGCTGTGTTGCCACCTTGGCAGAAACGCACACACCTTACGCTGCTGCCTGCTGCTCTTTCACAGGGCCAGTGCTGAACAAGGCAGCTAGGTGACAGATTTTGTTTGAGGGGCTCATAGTAAGACTGTCTTTTTCCTCTTCTGCTCCCACTCCTCTCAGTAGAACCTGCTGCAGTGGGCGCAGGCAGCATTCCTGCATCCTTCTCCAAGTGCCCACTTTTTCTACCCCACCCATGTTTCATACTGCCTGTAGACGCTACCCAAAGAACAGTATCGTATTCTGCTGGAGAAGTATTGCAGACAGCATAAGTAGGCATTAGACATTATGCTTCATCTTATAAATGTTTTGTGTTCTTTATTGCTGTCCCCCCCCCCAAAGGATTGCTTTTTGTTCATGTAGAATGTCTAAAGGTAAGTGTAGGTTACTCTGTTCTACTTGTGTTTCTTCCCCTTCTTGCCATTTATTACTTATGATTTGGGGGATTCATGGAGGTTGTACAGTCCCACCCCTGCACTAATCTAATTAACATGGAATTAAGGTTTCAGTAGGGACGTGGTGGCGCTGCGGGCTAAACCACAGAAGCCTGTGTGCTGCAAGGTCAGAAGACCAGCAGTCGTAAGATCAAATCCACGTGACGGAGTGAGCTCCCATCACTTTGTCCCAGCTCCTCACCAACCTAGCAGTTTGAAAGCATGCAAATGCGAGTAGATAAATAGGTACCACCTCGGTGGGAAGGTAAAACGGCGCTCCCTAGTCATGTTGGCCACATGACAATGGAAACTGTCTTCGGACGGCTTGAAAACGGGATGAGCACCACCCCCTAGAGTCGTACACGATTGGACTAAAAATGTCAAGGGGAACCTTTACCTTTACCTAAGGTTTCAGTACGGTATCTTCTGCTTTCTCTTAGTATATTTACATGAAACACAGGCATCACAGATAAACCAGAACCATGAAGAGGATGCAGTGATCACCTTCTTTAGATCATATAAATAGGCTTATGCTTGTTTTGCAGTATTCTTACTCCAGTAGGAAAAACTAGAATCAGTAATCCATTTTGTTCCAGGACTCACCATATCTGATAACACTTTATCAATGCCTTTCTTTCGGTTAAATGCCTTTTCTATGTCTGAAAACCTGGTGAAAGTTCCATTTTGTGCATAGGCTGGTGCTATGTTGTTTAGATAAGGATCTACATATGAATAAATAATATATTCTTGGGATATATGGTATTTTGAATGTACAGATAGTATATATGAGACGTTACCACATCTTGAGGTTACCATCCTTAAGTTACCACAAATGACCCCATTTGTTACCACAAATGATACCTTTTAATTTGCTTAATATCCACAGTACTTTCTCATCCCTGTTTGTATTAGTATTCCTTTCTCACATCTTTTCTCCATCCTTTTTGTTCTTCATTAGGATTTATCCAGAGAACGGCTTCTTTTCTTCTGAGAGGTAGTAACTAACAGCAACTTCTTGTTTGGTCCTTGCTTTCACATTTCCATTCTTCTGGGCCACATACACTAATCACCTTGGGCAGTGCAGGCACCGCTATCTTGCTACTGCTTTATAGGGTTACTGCTTCNTGTTTTTTGTTTTCTTTGTCGGGGTGGAAAGCCAGGGGGGGGGGGGGGGGGTTGGGGAGTGAATTTCTTCTTTAAAATTGCCATTGAATAGTACTGTGAACAAACTAACAGAACCCAGCTGGGCTGGTTTATAGCTAGCTGGATGGCAGCTCTCTTGCTTTGCTGGTGGCGGTCGCAAGGTTTTGGTGATAAACTGGGAAAAATCATACAGAAGATTTAATGGACAATAACCTAAGATGTTGAATGGCTCGTAGTTGCCACACCTGACGTTAATATATTGCTTTTTTGCAGCTGTTAATTTAAAAATGCATTAGAGGTAAAGTAGCAGTTGATTAACACTTCGATTTAACTTTGGCCATGAATAGTTATTTTAACAACAACAACAAAAATTAAATAGTATTGAATCTATCTCTGCTCATTCATTTATTTGTATATATGAGAGATTTCAAAAATCAGAGTGTTTAAAGCTGCATAAATTAATATATAACTGTAATCGTCGTCATCATCATCATCTCAGAACTGTGGAGCTGGAGGGGATCCAATGGATCATGGAGTCCATCCCTTGTCAAGGAGGCAAAGTGGAGAATCGAATTTCCAACCTCTGGCTCTGCAGACAGATACCTAAACCACTGAGCAATCGAGCAGTTGAGAAATACTGAAATATATTGATATCACAGTCCTATCATCCACTTTCTTTTTAATGTTAAAATCAGAAATAAAGAACAAAAGAACTTGTTGAAAACCAGCCATAACAGTTGCTTTCTATTTCAGTGAGAAATGGATAACTGATGAAAAAAGGACTCAGGTTCTGGGGTTTTTTTTCCTAACATCCACTTTCTTTTTAATGTTAAAATCAGAAATAAAGAACAAAAGAACTTGTTGAAAACCAGCCATAACAGTTGCTTTCTATTTCAGTGAGAAATGGATAACTGATGAAAAAAGGTTCTGGGGTTTTTTTCCCCCTTGCTTGGTGTTTGTTTGCGAAGGGTATTGAACACAAGAGGGGATCCTCCAGACCAGTGGTCTCCAACCTTGGGCCTCCAGATGTTCTTGGACTTCAACTCCCAGAAATCCTGGCCAGCAGAGGTGGTGGTGAAGGCTTCTGGGAGTTGTGGTCTAAGAACATCTGGAGGCCCAAGGTTGGGGAGCACTCCTCCAGACCATATTTACTGCTGACATTGGTGTCAGCAGCATTCAGGCTGGCCATTGCCCTGCTATGTAAAACTTGCCATCCTTTTTCTTGCTAATAATGCAGGCATGATGTTCCACGGCAACATTGGGCCATTTCCTAGCATTTTGAATCATGGACACAGAAGGTATATTCCACATTAATACCGTATTTTTCGCTCTATAAGACGCACCTTTCCATAAGACGCACCGATTTTTTAGGAGAAGAAAACAGGAAAATATAATCTGTTTTCTTCGCTCCATAAGATGCACAGACTTTCCACCCCCCTGTTTTGTGGGGAAAAAGTGAGTCTTATGGTGCAAAAAATACAGTAAATAAGGATTGAATTAATATGTGATGGTGCCATTTGATCTACTGTAAAGAAATGTGCATATTTGAATGACTTTTCATTCTATCTCCACACTGAATCCTGGCCCATTATCTTTTCTGAAAAGGTGAAAGTGCTGTGTTACTTTTAAGAGCCCTAGACTTATTTCAGAGAAGGACATTATCCTTGTTCATGCAACCTCATGGTTTAGTGGTTGGCAATAATTGTTCTGGGAGAAGGAGCTGCTGAAAATAATTCCCAGCTTTTCCGCTCACTGCTGTTTATTGCTTTGTGTTGCTGGTTTAATAGGTACTTTGGAAGCGCCAGAGCTGTATGTTGAAGCTGCAAATAGCCCCGGAGCACTATGAGTAATTACATGGGCAGTTAAGAGCAGAAGAAAGGTTCTCTTTTCCTTTCCTGAAGTTGTTTGTGTTTCATTGCAGGATGACTCCGCTATATATAGTCTACAAAACTTACCTTCCCAGAGGTTGTGTCACCTAGCAGGCTTAGAATCTAGTGTACAAAAAGATGTTAGAATTTTGCCAGGCTATTTCAGTCCTCTTAGGTTGTCACATCACTGGGCTGTTCTTTCTCTTTCTCTAGTGTGGTTTTCCTGATGTGTCTCCAGTTGCTTTTCTCAAATGGAGTTAGCCTGTTTTGCCAGATTTTTCATGCAAAACCAGCTTGTTTCCCTGAGTTGGAGAACCAGCCTTTCATTTTCGTCCTGCCAAAACTACTGTTACTCTGTTTCTTTTTCCTAATTTTTTAAAAGTTCATTTTGTGTAAAACATTCTTTAGTATCAGGAGCCTGTGGCCCTGTGGCTCAACAGTCTCTGACATTCTCTCCCTAGATGTCGAGCTGGATAAACGCATTAGCAGAGCAGCTACCATGTTCTCTAGACTCACAAAGAGAATATGGCTTAATAAAAAACTGATGGCATATACCAAGATCCAGGTCTATAGTTACTGTGTCCTGAGTACAGTGCTGTACAGCAGTGAGTCTTGGACCCTTTGTGCATGGCAGGAGAGGAAGTTGAACATGTTCCATAACTGTTGTCTCCAACGCATTTTTGGTCTCTCCTGGCAAGACAAAGTTCCAAACAGAGTAGTCTTCGAACGAGCTGGAATTTTTAGCTTGTATACGTTACTGAAATAGTGACATCTACATTGGCTCGGGCATGTCATGAGAATGGCTGATGGTCGGATTCTAAAAGATCTCCTGTATGGATAATTAGTGCAGAGAAATCACCCCAGAGGGAGACCACAGCTGCGATACAAGGATATCCGCAAACGGGATCTGAAGGCCTTAGGAATGGACCTCAACAGATGGGAGAACTTAACAGCTGACCGTTCAGCCTGGAGGCAGGCGGTGCATCATGGCCTTTCCCATTTTGAAGAGACACTTGTCCAGCAGGCTGAGGTAAAGAGGCAGTCCCGAAAGCAGCAAAATCAGGGAGCTGGACAGGGGACAGAATGTATTTGTCTTCAGTGTGGAAGGGATTGTCACTCTCGAATTGGCCTTCTCAGCCACACTAGACGCAGAGCACATTACCATAGTCTCTTGAGACTGAAGGATGCCTAATGTGTGGCCCTGTGGGTATGATTGATATCCAGATGTCTTAATTCCTAACTGTTTGTCATGATGGCTGAGGCTGATGGAAATTGTAATTCAACAACATATGGAGTGCCATGGGTTCTCCACTTCTCCTTTAGATTGTTACAAATACTTCTGGGCATTTTATACTCTTTGATTTCCTTGGCTTGCTGTCTTATGCATGATTGTGTAAGATTATTCCCTGGAGAAATTTGAATTATTTTTGAGATCCTACAGAGCCCAAGAAAGTCTTCCATAAAGAAGTTCCATTTCATCTAATTGGGATTTTCCTCAGATTTCATCTGAAGTTGTGGTGCAAGAGTAAAGCTGCTTTTGCTTATAAATGGTATCTATGGCTTCCTTCCTTCCTTCCTTCCTTCCTTCCTTCCTTCCTTCCTTCCTTGTGATTTTATTTAACTTATCTTTCGTTCTTCCTACATCTTCTTTTTCTTCTGATGCATATCAGGAGAAGCAATATTGGCCCATTAAATGTAAGAAACCCACAAGTTGGAGATAGTTTGGGTGGCAGGAAAAGAGGCGCAATCATACCCAAAATGTGGAAAGAAAGATCAAGGATGTAGCATAAATGTAATCCCTCCCCCATTTATTCAAATTAAAGGTACTTCCCCCTATTTTAAAACAATTATGTTGCTATCAAGTTGATTTAATTAGAAATAACTTGGTTCCAAGGTTTCCTATGTATAAAGTATTTCAGAGTGGTTTACTAGTCTCTTATAAAACCTGAAAATAATTGAATGTATATAGTCTAACTAGCAGGGCCAACCCAAAACATTTTGCTGTCTGAGGGGGAGAGTAAACTGTGTTCTCCCGCCTTCTGTATGTGCATGAGTACCCAAGGCGATTCAGGTTATTGTTGGATCGGAGGGAAATTCTGCAGCCACTCTTTTCAAGCAGTTGATACAGAAATAATAAAATGCTGTAATGGTTAATTAAATAAACAGGTTTTTTGTTTTCATGCTATGCAAAATCTACTGTTGAGGTAGTTACTTCATCTTGCTTGGTAGTAGGCCTGACCCGGTTAACTACTCAATAAATATCTTACAAAATATGCAAAGCAAACACCAAGTGTGTTGGGTCAGTTTGACTTTTTCAGACTGAAGTCTTGTGTAGGTAAAGACCTGTATCTAATTTTGTTGAAGCATATTTGACTCTTTATAGTCAGGACTTACCCGTATTTTTCGCTCCATAAGACGCACCTCTCCATAAGACGCACCAAATTTTTAGGAGAAGAAAACAGGAAAAAAAAACCTGTTTTCTTCTCCTAAAAATTGGTGAGCCTTATGGAGAGGTCTGTCCTATGGAACACAACCTAGGACCCTTTGGAGGCTCACCCAGCCCCCCTGAAGGCCAGAGGGGGCAAAATCACCATCATCTGGGGCTCTTTTGAGGTTTGGAAAGCTTCAGAAGAGCCCCAGAAGGTGGCAATTTCGCCCCCTCTAGCCTGGTGGGGGGGCAGGGTGAGCCTCCAAAGGTTGCTAGGTTGTGTTCCAGGACCCTTTAGAGAGACACCCTGCCCCCCCCGGGGGTCAGAGGGGCAAAATCGCCACCTTCTGGGCTCTTTTAAGGCTTGGGAAGCTTCACAAGAGCCCCAGAAGGTGACGATTTTGCCCCCTGGACCCGTG